ATCAAGTCACACAGCAAGTAGTGGATTGAGACAGAAAGTAAGATATACATAAATGGAGAAAGGTAAAAGTCTAGAGGAAAAAAGGTAAATGGTGATATTTAAGTTTAGAAAAATTGGATAGAAATAAGCCAAGTAAAAGCCAGGCATTTATAAGTAATAACATGCATCTGTGTATCAGTATGAGACTGGGGGTTGCCCTTCCCAGAAGGTAAAAATCTAAAGAGATAAAGGAGTAAAGCATTAAGCAAATACATGGCACCAAATGGGGCCATATTTCCATGTAACAGCAGAGAAAGCTAAAAATAAAAACATCTTCTTAATGTGATTCTGTCTGCTGGTGAGCCTTTGAAAAGCCAGCACATTAAGCAAAAAAGATAACCTCAGTTAAAATGACTGCCACAGCACAATCACGGAAATGGTAGAGCTCTGGGGAGGCTGTATGTAGTTCTTGGGGACTGAACTCCGATTGGGCTGTGAGTTTTAGACTTTGTTCTCATGAACCCAGAAGTGGGCATGGCCAGCTGGGAGACAAGGCAGAAGATACAGTTGTAGCTTAGCCATCGAATTCTTTAATTGGCAGTATAAGGGTTAAAATGCATACTGTTAACTAAGTCCAGATATAAATGGAATTGAAAGAGGGAATGTTGAAATAAAGGAGTCTGTATACATTATGAATACCTTAACTTTTAAAAAGTCAAAAATATTTGTCAAATGAAAATTAAAAAATGCTTTGGGGAAGCAATTTTGTTATTGTTTCTACAGGAAACAAGAGGCTCTGGATTTGCTTTAAGTTTACATAGACATGGGTAGAGCAACTGAGACCTCTTGAACTTGACAGGCCATACATATCAATTAAATTTACTCGTGGTCTTCACACAACTTGAAAATAATCTCAAATTTTCCCTGGGAACCCTTAAAGTTGCCGTCATCTGCAGACAGCAGGAGGCATCTGGAGAACATGACTCCCCCATTCCCAAATGTTGGGGGGTAGGACTTTTGATTGTTTGGCCGTTCACAGATAACTGTTATATGCAAATATAAGAAACATTAGATAAAATGGTAGGTTATTGAATCTATTATAACCTGCCTACCTTCAAGGACTCACTGACAAGAACATTCCCTGATTTGGTTTCCATGCAATGACCTCTCTCTGATGAATCCCAGCCCTGCCAAGCTCCCTGCCCAACTACCAAATAGAGTCTCTGAGAAAATAAAATTTTGCAGTTTCATCAGAAATCCTGTCTTGCTGTCCATTTTTTGTGTCTCTTGTCCCTTCATTCCAGGTCCATTGAGGTTCAGGCCCCCATTGCTGAACTGTTCCCCAGGGCAAATTTTTGTTACAACATACTATATATTGTTTCTACTCTTGCTTAAAGAATTTTTGCATATTGATAAAAATTCAAATTTTTCTGTTAAAACATATTGTATTCATGTTTTCACTTATGTTGTTTTGGAGTGTCAAGATGAATTTCTAATTTTATTTTAGCTATTTCATCCATAAAGATAATTGATGATATCTCTGAAGAAAATTTCTATTCCAGTTTGAATTGCAACTAAGGATTCATTTCTAAGATTCATGTTTTTCAAAGAATAATGATGTTAACAATAATGGCTATAGTAATACCTGTGACTCTAAATTGGTGAACTTTGGAGACATGATGTTGTGCTCCTACTGCAGGAAAATATTAACGGAGGAGCCCATCCTATGCTACTCATTGGATGCTTCTATGCTTTTCAAAAGAAAATACTTTGTAATCTGTATATCTCCATCACTCACTGAAAATGAAGTTCACAGGCTCTCTCAGATTCCTTGTATATGACCTGAAATCATTCAATGAAATCGTCTTGAAAATTTCTCCTAGCTTCTGTTAACATATTTGCATGTTAATTACAGTTCCATTACCCTCTTCAAAGACATCATATTTTGCAAGTGAACCCTCTACTTTGAATATTATGTGTCTTCTCATTTTTATTATTATTGATAACATTGTTTATAGAGGGTACATAAAAATATTCACAAAGCTAAAGGATGGTTTTAAATAAAGTTGCACGATTATGTGATTTTCTTGAAGGTAGACACCACATTAAAAAATACCTACCTAGCTGCTGTACATAAAAAAGTAACTCCAAATATTTAATTTTAATTGGTAGTAATTTATCTATTCATTTTTTGTGTGCATGCACACGTGTGCATGTGTGTGCGCATGCGCGTGAGCGTGAGTGTGTGTGTAGATAAGAATACAGCAAACAAGAGTCAATTTGCTGTTTCCAACAGCATAGATCCTACAGGTTCAAACTCAGGAAGACTTGGGAGCAACTACCTTTATCCATTCAACCATTCTGACACACTTTTAATATTAGCTAGCTAAAAGTGTTAAATTTAACAGATTAAAAGTAACAGATCTGACGAGTGTTTTGCAATTTGTGGGTTTTAACCCCTTTGGCAAACCTCTATCTCAAAAAACTTTTGCATTACAATTCATAGCACTGCCAACATTACAGTAATTAAGTAGCAATAAAAATAATTTTATGGTTAAGCATGACCACATCATGAAGTTTTATAACCATTGTTCTAGGAAAGTTGCCCATCATTTTATTTTTACTTTTTATTGTTCAAGAAAAACACTTTCAGTTTGAGCCCACTTTTAGTTATGTATAGTTATAAATTTTACAGTTTATTCCACCTAGTTTTTTAAAATTTATTTTTTGTTATGCCCTATGTACAAGTATCTAAGTTATAGACATGTGAGTTTGAGCCTTACCCATATCTGTCCACACATTTAACACTTCTGATGTTAATCTCCACTACACAGCTTATATTTCATTGCAATGTACTTTTAATAATATAATATAAAATGCATATCCAAGATTTGAGTAATTAATAAATGTAACAAACACACTCTTTAGAGATAATTTATCTCATATTGATTTCACAGCTCTATTTTCTTTTTAAGGATGAGGTCAGAGTCTCCTCTTTATGATCTTTATATGTGTTTTCAATTTCAGGATATGATATTTAGTCATTATCTTCTTTGATTTTTAACATTTAAGATCTAGATGTGCGTACAGCTGATGCAATGTGGAATGTTTGGGATAGAACCTATAGGTAGATAAGGTAAACATGCAAGGCGAGAAAGAATTGCTGAACGTAAATTACTCCTTCAGACTTCTGGTCCTGGTGAACTTAAGGGTTCTACAATTTGACGAATATGATCTTTTTATGTATTCTAATTTTTAAAACTTGAATTAGAAACATTCTTACTTCATATACCAGTGCTAGTTCAATGTCCTTCCCATCCTCCAATACCCCACATAGAGCCCAATCCCTTTTCTGTTCAACTGAATAGGTGAGGCCTTCCATTGGGGAAAACATCAAAGTTAATCACATATTTTGGGGCAGGGCCTAGGACATCCAGAGTGTGTCTAGACTGAAACAGTTTCTCTTTATGGGGAATTGCCTACTAATGGTTATTCCTACACTAGGGATAAATACTGTTCCATAACTAGAGGCCCCCAAACTGCACAATACTCTTAACAGAGACACACCTTTAGCAGGCCTAGTTCTGTCATATTCTCATTATGATGTCTGAAGTCAATGAGCTCCTATTTTTTAAGGTCAACTGATTATGTGGGTTTCCCCACCCTGGTCATGAATACATTGCTCATTACACCTCAGTCTCTACAACTGGATTCCTTACATTTGGCTCAGTGCTTAGCTGTGGGTGTCTGCTTCTGCTTCCATCAGCTGCTTGCTGAAGGCTCTAGGATTGCATATAAGGTAGTCATCAATCTTGTTATTTGGGAAGGACATTGAGGATAGCCTCTTCACTATAGCTTAGAATCTTATTGGGGTCATCCTTATATATCTCTGAACATTTACTTAATGCCAGAAAACAGGAGAACATGTCACACAAAATGAACTTTACAAGGCTCATAAGGGATCAGAGAAAGTGAATCAGCTATCATGGAGCCTGCAAGGCAGTGTGGCAGGAACTCTGAAAAAATGCATAGGTTTCTTTAACTTGGTTTGTTTGTGGGATTCCTACAAATAGCTCTTGTGGTGTCTCTGACTCTTCTGCCTGCTCTTAGGACACTTCCTTCTACTGAGTTACCTTGGTGAGGCTTGTATGATGGTTTGTGTCTAGTCTTATTGCACCTTGTCATGATGTGTTTGGTTGGTATCACTGGGAGGCCTTCTCTTTTCTGAAGCAAAACAGAGTATTAGTGGATTTGGGAATATGAATACTGGAGAGAGTGCTGGAATGATTGGAGGTAGGGAAAGCTGTAAATTTATTATAAGTTCATTGATTCTCATAACATATAACAGCCAAAAAAGCAAAAATCTCCAAATTCTATTCAGATATTCAAGACAATGCCCTGACTGACACATATTATATAATTAAATAAGTAATTAAGGATTTCCAGCATACACCAGCTTAGGATATATTCACATTCAGAATAAGAGAAATATTACCATATACAAGCCCCCAACTAAGGGAGACATCCCTTTCTCATGTGCATGTCACACAGCCAGAATAACAGGTAGTGTGGGACAGCAGCTCACAAAGCTCTGACAGTATATTTATTCCCAAACAGAGTCCTCCAACATCTCATTAGCTGCCACCCACAAAGCCATGTCACCACCACAAAAT